GGCCGAGCCGCAACCCGACCAGTAACCGGTCCGAGCCGCGACCCGACCAGTAACCGGGCCGAGCCGCGACCCGACCAGTAACCGGGCCGAGCCGCAACCCGACCAGTAACCGCGCCAAGCCGCGACCCGACCAGTAACCGGTCCGAGCCACAACCCGACCAGTAACCGCGCCAAGCCGCGACCCGACCAGTAACCGGGCCGAGCCGCGACCCGACCAGTAACCGCGCCAAGCCGCGACCCGACCAGTAACCGGGCCGAGCCGCGACCCGACCAGTAACCGGGCCGAGCCGCGACCCGACCAGTAACCGGGCCGAGCCGTGACCCGACCAGTAACCGGTCCGAGCCGCAACCCGACCAGTAACCGCGCCAAGCCGCGACCCGACCAGTAACCGGGCCGAGCCGCGACCCGACCAGTAACCGGGCCGAGCCGCGACCCGACCAGTAACCGGGCCGAGCCGTGACCCGACCAGTAACCGCGCCCAGCCGCGACCCGACCAGTAACCGGGCCGAGCCGCGACCCGACCAGTAACCGGGCCGAGCCGCGACCCGACCAGTAACCGGGCCGAGCCGTGACCCGACCAGTAACCGGTCCGAGCCGCAACCCGACCAGTAACCGCGCCAAGCCGCGACCCGACCAGTAACCGCGCCGAGCCGCGACCCGACCAGTAACCGGGCCGAGCCAGACCGAGATCCCTCGTGCCCCGGACTGGACTGCCACTGCCTCCTCCTCCTTCCCCTCCTCCCTCCCCCCCTCCCTCCCCCCGCCGGCGCCTTGTATCAGATCGTAGCTGTGTCGTGCCCGGCCGTAGACTTTCCTTTCCCGAGGCTGACGATGATGATGTAAACCCTCGTCATTCTTGTTGAAACTAAAAATCCGGTCCTGACGCGACATTTCACTGCACATCTGTGACGTCACGGAGGACCGCCCTGTGGCGGGCAAGGTTGCGACACGAGCTCCGCCGAATCAGGGCACGAGCTCCGCCGAATCCGCCGGGCATCCCTCCCTTAGGTCGAGGCAGACGATGGATTGTTTTTCCTCATAATTGGCGCTTTCCTAAAGATGTATTTGGGCTCCGCAAGTATTTTTGGACTTCCTGAGGCTAGTCTCTTCATGAATCGTCATTTCATAGGCGTAATAGTAAAATCTACCATCACGTGGAGTAAGGCCTCAAAAATGTAGAGTTCTTTCGCGATACCTTGCCAGGTATGTGTTACAACAATAGCGTAACGTCGACAACACCAGCAGTGTGTGCCTCGCGCCGACTTCATGAAAGTTCCACTCCATGAATCCATTCATCCTCTTATTTTGGGTCTTAAAGTTCCATTGTGAGTAAACGTACTCTTGATTGTGGTTGTAGTCATGACTTCATCATAAGAGCAGCGGGGTTACATGAATTGGGCCCAAATACCAAGGTTGGTGGCCCCCAAAAATCAGAGATTTCCGGTCGCCATGGGCGCTTAGAGCTGTCACGAGGCCCCGCAGCCTTCGTAAACCCCAGGCCTGCCATGGACTCACAAAATTTTAAGACCCGGTCTTAACTCTGAAATCGGCACGTCCCGCGAACCAGCCAAACCGTCGAAGGTGTCGGTGCCAGGTAACCTGACGAAACCTAATGTCGGCGGAGATTGCCGATTGGAAGCATCGTAATGCCACTGAAGACTGTCTGCGTAACAGGAGGGGAAGCGCTGCATCCATTCAATTGTCAACGTACGCCAGTTTGCCGTCTTCGTGGAAGATCCGACCGCCTCTGTGACCGGAGATGCCTCTCCTTCGTCCTGCCTTTCCTCAGACCGTGACCCTGTGGCGGGCTGCGGTCAGCTGACGCCGCAGGCATCACCTGGCCACGTGACAGGTGAGATACCGGGCGCCTCGGGCACTCCCCGTGCCCCATCGTCACACCAGACACGTGGAGGTGCAGCTAGAACGTGCTGAGTCGCTTCCAAGCGGAATCTGGGTCAAGCCGGACCCCCAAAATGAGGCGAGGAACGGTCTTTATTGGTAGATGTGCGGTAGTTGGGTGCTGTAAATGTATGCGAATATGTAAAATGTGTGAAACAGTGTGTTCCCGTTATGAGAATTGCTGGCTTCGAATGCAAGGTGACAAGGGTTCCACAATTTGTGCGGCTCTGAAAGTGTCCTGACTGACGTGACAATGATGTGTCTGGCCATCCCGGCAGATTAGACATGAGCCAGTTATCGTGCGATAGGACAGAGGCGCTTCGATGAGTGTTTCTGGCCACGACCAAGGGTACAGGATCCGTTATTGATCTTCAAGCCAGTTACGTTAGACTGTTGTCACAATTGAAATCGATTTGAAAAGCAAGAGCGATGTGTAGCTTACTACGTATTTTAAATAAAGGCGTGGCTTGGGTTATGATTGCGACTACGAACAGCCGACGTGGTTGTATACATTTGTTCAGTGTTGGGTGGCAGCTAAGCGCTACTCATCTCAAACCTGGTCCTCAATCCTTTGCAAGATGTAAAGCGGGGAGAACATGAAGCATCTGAAACACGATAAGAGGCGGCTGTAGAGGCGTCGGAATTCCTGGTCGAGGTTTTCAACATGCATGCGGTTTTTGGAGGTATGCGGCAAGCTCGCGGTCTTCTGAGGCTTCTAGCATTCATACAAGTTCTGGAAGTTTTCAGCATGCATACGGATTCTGGAGGCCTCCAGTATGCTTGCAAGTTCTGGAAGTCTTCAGCATGTGTGCGGCATCTGGAGGTCTCCAGTATACTGGCAGGATCTGTAAGTTTTCAGCATGTGTGCGTCTTCTGGAGGTCGTCAGTTCTGAAGAGTGAGGAGTGGGGAAGGGGGGGGGGGTGCTGACCTCCACCCTCGAGCGAACTGGGTGCAGCCCTCGGGCCGGATTGGCTGGCTAAGGCGGCGCCTCTTGCCGGTCGTATGTAACCAGCCCCTCCCGGCGCTGGCCGCCGGTCCTTACGGATAGTGATTTGTCCGCATTTAGTTCTGAGTCGCCTCGCAAGTGACCGTGTTGGGCATGGCCGGGCTGCGCTCTGCGGGTCTGCAGTGCCCTTGCCGAATCCCCCCCCCCCCCCCCCCTCTGGGACGGCTGGGCGAGTGATTCGACCGGACTGTGGCTCGGATGTCGTGCAGAGGCGCCGCCGCCGCACCTACGAGACTGGAGTCCTTGATCGATAAGACAGCGGCGGAGGTGCAGAGACAGTCGCGGGCTACACTGCTCCACGCTCGAGCAGGGCGTTCCCGTCTCATTGCATCGCGGAAGCGGCCGGCGCGGCGTCGAGTGGGGCGCGGAGCTCGCCACGGCTGCCTGCAGAGCCGCCGGGTCCGCCGTCAGAGCTGCTGACGGGGCGCCAGGTGTGTGCGCAGCCCACTGACACCCAGCGCCTCGCGCCCGTGCCCGAGGCGTTCAGAATGGACAGCCGCCTGTCCAACATCCGAGCGGTGTGGCCGGCCGCGCGGTCGGCGCCACCCACCAGCTGCTCAGCGGCGTGAGCTCGCGGCGGCGGCGGGCTTCGAGGTAGACCGGCTGAGGGAGGCGGAGCGGGACTGACGCGCGCAGGAGCCTCGGGGGCCCGATGCTCTTATCGTCTCTCAGGCGCAGCCGCCTGATTAGCCTCGGGGTCGTCGGAATGGGCGTGATAGTGGGACCGAGGTGCGGTCTGAGTAGCTGCTCGTAGTAACGTACCGTCTGCATACCTGGCATCCGCCCGAAACAGACGTATGTGCCGGATGTGTCGGGAAAGAAAGCGTTTGTATTCCCAGCTTTTGACAGCCTCTATGCCCTAAAAGCTTTTAAAAGAGATGCAATGCCTGCGGGGGAGCTGCAGCTGTGGCTTGCATTTCTAACTTCCTCTTTTTTGTATTCCGTTTGCACTCTGTCCTGGGCGGAAAACCCAACGAGCAACGAAGTGTTGTTTTCTTGAAACAAGCGAGTCACCCCTGCCTGACAGCGGTTGACAGCCGGTTGGTCTGCGTGCGGCTGTATGGTGTCAACGGTCCGGCGCGGGCTGCGGCTGGCTCCGCTCACGCGCCGGGCCGGGGCGGGTCGCGCCGGTGGCACCTGGGGGCGGCCGTGTCGCGCTGGACGGCGGCCAAATACCGGCCCGGTCAGCGCCGGCCGGCGCCGCCGCCGCCGCTGTCCCAACAGCCGCACGCGATGCGCTGATGGTCCCTGACAGTCCCGTTATATACACACGATCCGATAGTGCAACCGCTCGCGAGCCCCGTTTCGGACCAGCAACGCCTCGCTGTCCTCGTGAGGACGTGATGTTGGCCGCTGGTTGACGGCAGCGCTGGCCGGTCCGGCTCCGGCCGTGGCGGCGCTGCGCTGTATGTGACGGGACGTGACGCGGCGTCTCGTCGCTCGTGACGCCGTCGGCGGTGCGTGTCGCGTCGGGCGGCGCGGCTGCCTCACGAGCGCCGTCGACTCGTGCGGGCCAACCAACGGAGTGGGAACAGCTCAGAGGCTGGAGTTTGCACGGTTAGCTCCGCTGGCAAACAGCGGGTGCCATTGGACAGATCTTTGACGGTGACGCTGCGCTGCTGCGTGGACATTTGACGGTGCGCCGAAAGGAGCCACGGCACATGCCGTATGTTCCGGATGCACTGGACGGGGCGTGTTGTTGCGTAGATGGGGTGGTACCGTTTGGCATCAGCATCGGCAGCAGCAGCATCACCGGCATCAGCTGGGGCATGCCCTCTGGAATTTATTAATGTTCATGTTGTATTGGTATGGGAATTGAGCTTCCGCGTTTGCACACGGGAAGACAGACAGAGAAGTACAGAGAAGGTTAATGCTTAGTAATTCAACCGAACTAAATCGGCGACGAAACCAGCTTTACAGAGGAACAAAAGAAGCACCATTACACTTTTCTGTGGACTGTAAGCATGCATGCATCGGGGTGGTCTGTGCTAAATTTCCCATGACATTTCGCTGAAGTCAAGTGAAAAACAGAGCATTTCCGTCGCCAAAAATGCTTGGCATGTTTGCATGACTCGGAACCGGCGCGTCGGCAGGCTCGCAGGCGTTCTCCCGGAAGCATCCGCTGGCCACATGGCTGTCGTCCATGTTCGCCATATTCGCCGGCGCGCTGCTGGCCAACTTCCTGCTGGGCGAGCCGGTGCTGGGCGCCGTGAAGAACAACAACCAGCTGCTGGTGGCCACGGCCGTCTGGTCAGTGTGCGCCTCTCGCAGCACCGCTCTCGCACGCGCCGGTGACGGACACTGGATGGAGCCTTCATACGCGTCCGTGGAGATGGGCATAGTGCGCGATAACATCAAATAATATGCGTTGCACAGTTACTATTCGTCTATGTGGATGTGTTTTAAGTTGTGTGTTATGGTCGGAACTGGCTAGATGCGGTTTGTGAATGGGCCACAATATCAACCTAAGTGATTTGCTCTTCGACCCGTATCCGTTAGTTTCTTTGTCGCGGCTTGCTATATTGCTAGTTGCGCTATATATATATATATATATATATATATATATATATATATATATATATATATATATATACATCTCGGTACATTCCAGGTACGTGGTGTTTTACTCTCCATTTGACATCGGGTACAAGGTGGTCAAGTTCCTGCCGTTCAAGGTCGTACTGTCCGCCATGAAAGAGGTGAGAGTAATGAATGCGACTGTCTAGACAGCGGTGTGACTGACGTCATTGGTGTGTCGATCTCGCCGCCGCAATGTCAAGCGCAATTTGTTTGCCGTTCTCTCCTCAGCACTGTACGTACGTGATTTTACTGGATGCTATTGTCCGGTCCGCCCTGGCCTGCCGCACGTGCTCCTGCTCTGGATTCCCAGGTGTACAGATGTAAGAAGGTGCACGACGGCATCACCCACGCCGCCAAGCTGTTCCCCAACAGCTATCTCATCATGGTCGTCGTCGGTACTGTCAAGGGCAACGGCGGCGGCTTCGTCAAGATCGTGGAACGCCTGTTCCGGGGCGTGTGGACCCCCACCGCCATGGAAATCATGGGTCCTAGCTTGTGAGTTCATGGCATTGAACGAGTGGGGCGACGGAGGAGTCCCGCTGTGCCTGGCCGGCCACGTTGTGTGAACATCTCAGTTTGAGGCCACATGTGTCAGCTTCCCGGCCAGCGAATCGTAACGATTGCCGGTGAATGTAGGCTGTTGGCGGCTCTACATTCCTGAGTTCGAGCCGTTCACACAGCGCTATCGGCATTGTCGGGCGACTCGTGGGCACAGCTTATTATTTCGCTTGCTCACCGCTTCGCCACACGACGGAGCTGTCGCAGGCGTGTTTGTTGTCTGATATAGGGCCCTGGCTGTTATCTCGGGCGTGGTTTAGCGCGCCGTAGCGGATAATCAAGACTTGTGACTGCCCGCAGCCCGACGAAGGCCTCTATTGCCGCTGCCATCATATTCGTGCTGGATAAGAAGACGGATATCATCTCGGCGCCCCATGCCCTCGTTTACTTCGGCATCACGATCTTCTTCGTCTATTTCAAGGTCAGGCCCTCCACTATCACGCGTCTACCTGGGCGCATAGGCCTGAAGTAGTGCACCATATATATATATATATATATATATATATATATATATATATATATATATATATATATATATATATATATATATATCATACGTCTATCTGTAACGGTCGGTGACTACATGGAGCTGCAAGCTTAATATGGGGCGCCAGCTTAGGTTTGGCTTGTTAAGACTATCTGCGCGATGTTCTAGTTCAGAAACGATAACAGCTTAGCACATTACCGTTTGCCTTTGGGTTTGGGAATGCGCGAGAACTTCCAGCTTCCCAGAAGAGATGATGGGCCGACAAATGTCTGAAACGGTGCATAGATACATCGGTGCCTGCCTCGTGCCGTACACACACGCGCATCGCTTCATTTCATCCTTTTGCAATGCATGCGTGATGTAAATGAGGGCCGCTTTGTTGCCTTGTGCCATCAGCTGTCAGACCTGCGGCGTTCTGTGCACGGCTGTTGTGTGACTTGTGGCTGCCTTCTGTCGGCAGACAACCTCCCTCTCCCGCCCTGTGCCTGCACCTACCTGACCTATGGTGAGGTCCGCAGTCCTGGCTCCACCTATCGTCTGATTTGTGACGCTCTCTGTCCACAAATGGGATGTGACCTCTGTCGCTATATGCCCCCATACGTCCTCCTTCCGCTCTCCCGTCCACATGTACCCTCTGAACTAGCGGGTCTATATAGCAGACCTGTGGGCCCCCGTCCCATCTGTTGCTGGATGGTGGCACCCCTGGCCGGAGCCGCCCCCTGACCTGTGCTGCCTCCAGTGGGGCTGGTGCCGGGTGGCGTCCGCCGCCATCCGCTGGCCGCCTGACCTGTGCTGCCCCCTGTGATGGCTGCTGGTGCCGTGTGACGTCCGCCACCGTGTGCTGCACCAGCCGCCGCCTGACCCGTGCTGCCCCCTGTGATGGCTACTGGTGCCGTGTGACGTCCACCACCGTCCGCTGCACCAGCCGCCGCCTGACCTGTGCTGCCCCCTGTGATGGCTACTGGTGCCGTGTGACGTCCACCACCGTCTGCTGCACCAGCCGCCGCCTGACCTGTGCTGCCCCCTGTGATGGCTGCTGGTGCCATGTGACGTGCACCACCGACCGCTGCACCAGCCGCCGCCTGACTTGCCCCCCCCCCCCCCCTGCCTGTTCACAGCTGTCGTCGCTGCTGTTGGGCATCCACGACCCGTTCGTGCCGTTTGAGAACCTGTTCTGCGCCGTGTTCCTGGGCGGCGTGTGGGACTCCCTGCAGCGCGCCGTCTCCGGCGGCAAGGCGGCGCCCGGCGACCCGGTCCGACCTGACGCCAAGCCGGAGGCCGCCAAGAAGAAGGACTGAGAGGGGTGCCCTGACGCGGTACGGTCGGCGTCGCCGGCGGGTGTCCTCTGGCCGCCCAGGGCGGGAGGGTGGTGAGGTGCTGGGGGCCTCTGGTTCTCGTGGGTCGCTGCTTGTTCCGATGGCGCTAATGGCGGCTCATTTCATGTATATGCATGCCCGTTGCGGGAATTGTTGACAGTTCGTTGTCAGCATGTTGAACGCTTCTTATCATTTACTATTACACTGGCATCTTGCTCGAGATGCCTTCCCAATGCGTGGTTCTGTTTAATGACAACCGATGTAGATGGTAACGAGTACCCCTCAACAGCGGCTATATTTGGTGTTCCGATGCTGTACAGACATTTTTGTAGAAGCGTTCTCAAATGTATGAGACCGCCTTGAGGTGTTTCCCGTAGGACTATGTTGGTACCACTAGTGTTGCCGCTGATGCGATGATATCACTGCTAATATGAATCGCACAACGTGCTGGAGGATAACGAATATTTTCCGGGCGCGTCAGACATGGTCTGCTTTTTAGCGGTCTTGCGTCCGGCTCCTGCATTTGTACGACGCACTCCCTTTTCAGATCGGGTCTGCCATCATCTCATCCAAGCCGGATGTTGGCCGATCAGAGCCTGTGTCGTCAGCTGGCGACAGCTGGCGAGCAGTACTCCTGCTACCGGTCCTGCGACCAATTCATCTGGTCTTATATCGACTCATTTAGTGCCGGGCGGCGCCTGACCGGCGTCCGACGCCAGCTGAGCCTGCGCCACGCGTCAGCTGATCATGCGATCAATGTCAGCTGATGTGCCGCGCGTCAGCTGATCCAGCGCCGGACGTCAGCTGACCATGCGTCGGACGTCAGCTGGTGTGCTGCGCGCCAGCTGGCGTACCGGACGTCAGCTGATGCAGCGTGGAGTGTCAGCTGGTCCTGGGCCCGACGTCAGATGATGTACCACGCATGAGCTGATGTACCAAACGTCATTAATGTGCTGGATATCCATCGATGCGCTGGATGTCACCTGATGTGCTGAGGTCGGCTGATATACGGGACGTCATCTGGCGTACGGGACGTCACCTGGCGTACGGGACGTCACCTGTCGTACGGGACGTCACCTGCCGCACGGGACGTCACCTGGCGTACGGGACGTCACCTGGCGTACGGGACGTCACCTGGCGTACGGGACGTCACCTGGCGTGCTGGACGTCACCTGGCGTACGGAACGTCACATGACGTACGGGACGTCACCTGGCGTGCGGGACGTCACCTGGCGTGCAGGACATCAGCTGACTGCTCGCTCAGGCGCTCCTGGATGGCAGGCCTCATTGTCGAGTCGTCTCGTGTCCAAGTCCGAGCGCCGGCCGGCCCGGTCCGCTTCCCTCCCGCCCGTTTCCGACGTTTTCCCTGGAGTGGAGATGGCGTGGCAGGACCGCCGCTCCTGCATGGTCGTGTAGTCACCTGTAGTGCAACTAGTCCCGTGTTTTGTGTTGACCTTTGTCGGTTTGGGGCTCCTTCCCCTGTCCAGTGCGGGTGGTGTGTGCTGATCAAGAACAGGGAGGGAATCAGCCTCAGTTGATTGGTATCTCGTGTCATCGGCAAGTGGTCTCATTCTGCCAGGCTGTACGGGCGCAAACGTGGTCTGAATGCTCCGAAGATGTTGGGTGGCTATATGAAGAACATGAGTATGTTCATAACATCTAAGCAGTTCGTTGTTGGATGTCTCTTCGCATCCAGCCACGAAATTTGTATAAAAAGACAGACGTTCAGCTCATGGCATTGCAGTGTTATGTGTTGAAAGTTGTTATGCTAAGTTGATAACCTTGTCGAATTCTGCCACGAGATGGCACTTATTGCTCCCAAGTTGCTGAAGTTTGCATTAACATTGGCCTGAAAGGCATTAATGTAAACACCATGAAAGTCAAGATCTTGAGTCATGCATGGGCTTATGCCCGAATTAATTGTGCAATTGGATTTCAAGTACAAGGCCACGTTCATGATAGGTCGTGGCAGGACTAAGAATGATCTTGGAGATCATTGGCGGGGTGTCTTGCGTAGAAGACGGGCCCAACGCTGTGAGCATGAGGGAGAACTCTGGAGATTGCTTAAAACAAAACTGAACGTGACACCGTGTTCCAAACCTGTTAGTCCAGCCACAGGACATGGCCTTACAGGCCTGGACGATCGACGAGCCTCCCTTCCTTCCATCAACAAACCAACTACCCCTCCCTTCCCCGCCCGTAATGTGCATAGGTTGTCGAACGTGGTAGACCGCCCGCTCATGATTAGCTAAATACGTCGCACATAGTAGGCCTCCCCGCCCATAATGTACCTAATATGTCACGCGTGGCGAAACCACGCAGCCTGGCGAGAGTTAACGTGCCGGCCGCCAGGGTAACGTCGATGTGGATTCCCTGCCAAAGACAGCACTACGGCTGCGATGATTGGGAGCTTACGCCGAGCTAGTCCCTGCTTCTTGTGCCGGCCGCTGGTGGGCGCGCGTGTCGAGATAATGAGGGTGCTGAGGGAGGGCGGCCCGGCCGGTGGGCCGACCCAACGAGGGTGCTCTGGCTGCTGAGGGAGGGCGGCCCGGCCGGCGGGCCGACCCCCTCCCGCACCGCGACCAGCAAACATGGCTCGTCTGATGCGCATGTGCGAGTGCAATACAGCTTTGTTCGGAGTGGTGCTTGATGACTTGGGGAGCTGATGGTTGTCGAGAAATGGACTGCGCTGGAGAAAATTCAAGCGAAAACTTGACTCAACAACCTTGCGGCAAAATGGCTTCTGTTTCAGTGTCATGTCCCAACGGTGGCAATGATGGCACTGCGTGGTATGGATGCAATCTGGATGTGTGCTGCGATGGCTGAAAATGCTGTCAGGAGTCAAGCAGCGCTCGCCGGTGTGCGCAGGTGCCGTTTGTCAAGATGTGTTTACTGATGCCTGGGCGGCATGAGTGTCACGCTCTCAGCTTGTGATGAAAGGCAGCAGAATGGGTAATCTCGCCGACCGCTATAGACACCGTCCAGTTGAGGTCTACTCTGGCCGCTGGTCCATGAATGGCTGATTTCCTTCGCTGTGCTGAGACGCCATCGGCAGGTGGTGCCGGTGAAACTACCAAGAGCTTAACACCCAGGGTGTTTGGCAACTCCAGTTGTCGCGCAATAATGCCATCCACGCTAAAAAGGTGTTTGATTAAAGGCCCTGCCGACAAATGCTGCGAGTTCCGTGTATTGTCGGGGAGAAAGCAGCCGCTGAGCAGGCGCACCGCTGACAGCAGCTCCGCCGGGCTGTTTGACTAACCGAGAGTCCACACCGGCGTCGCGGCGCGCCCGTCGAGGCTTCACACTTTCCACGGACGTCTCGCTGCAGGCCGCCCGCGGCTGCACTGCCGGCAGCGTCACAGAACGCACGCGCTGCCGCTCAAGCGGTCGCTGGAGGCGGCTGCCGGGTCGGAAGCGGCGCTGATGGCAGTCTCGAGCCGCGGCGGCAGCACGATCGGGCTCGTAATGGACCGATTTCACGACCGTTGGGCGCGAGCGGGGCCGGCCCCGTGCCGAGTGGGGTGGCTTGCGTGTCGAGGGACGGCACCCGCGCGTGCCAGCGTCTGACACGTTCCTCCGGCTACAAACCGTCAAAACATCCGCACATAGGCATTTTATTATGTTTTTGGACGGTTCTAAGACCCCGATGCCCTTCATATGGCTGGATGTATTACATTCGTAACCGAAACGTAGCTCACAAAATCCCTTGGTATCCCACTCTGTCGCCCGTGTCCCCTCGCCATCAGCTATCGCATGGAGCTCCAAGGCACCTAACAACTAAACAAAAACAAAACATGGTATGACTTCAACATGCGAAACAAAGTACACGGATCTGATACCAACCATCTCCTCTGATTTCAAGCCCGAACTCGTCCTCGCGTTCGAACCAACTCTGAACCTGGCGTTTTCCCGCCCGCTCTGGGAGGACAGGCAGCCAGGGTTTCGGTCCACCAGCAGACGGACCTCAACGGCGGCACTGCGCTCTAGCCCCGCGTGGCCACCGGGTAATCGGCGACCCACTGGAACGCCCCCCGGCGGCCGGTCCTGGCACCGTACGTGACCTCGTGCCTGGCGGCAGCACCGCCCGCGGGGAGGCGGGGGTACAGGCTCGGAGACCGCTGGAAGTAGCCCGGTAGCTTAGGCTGCCGCGGTCCAGACGGCGCGTCGGCGTAGGGCGAGTGAACTGTCAGGCCGCCGTCTCCGCCGCCGCCGCCGCCGCTGCTCGCGGCTCGGCCAGACTCGGCGGGGCCGTATTTGAACGCGGGCAGGCCATGGAACTGCCAGTCTCGGATTTCGTTCAGCTCCACGCTGTCGAAGGCGTGGGGTCTGGCTGGGTGGTGGACCGAGGGGTAAAGGGGTTTGTTCTCTTCCACGTCGGGCTTTGATGTTATGGGGTGCTGAGCCACGCCGAGCGGTTTGTAGAATGTCGTGAACCGATGCGGACGTGGCGGTTTTTTGACCGGCTCAGCGGCGTACAGGTTGGGAGCGTACGGATCGGGTCGGGGCGCTAGAGGGAGGGTGTCCTGCGGTGTTGGACCGGGCGCATACGGCCTCGGATGCGGCTCCTGACCGGAGCTGCCTGGCCGCACAACGGAGGCGTACTGGCTCAGCTTACCAGCCAAGTTGTGCGTCTCCGGCCGCTCGGGCAGACGTGGTTTCGGTCGGATCGCCGGAGGTTCCCTGGAGCCACCGCTGGCGCCGGACGGTTCTGGGTCCGCCGCCGGCACCGGTCTGGACGGAGCCTTGGCGGCTGCGGCGGCGGGCCGACGCCGGTCCGGCGCGGCCGGGCCGTACTCGGGACTGCGGTACGGCTGCTCGGGTACGGCCAGCGGGCCGTGCGAGTACGGCGGGTACGCCGGCAGCGGTGCTGACTCGACCGCCGGCCGTATCCGCTGGCCGAAGTTGCCGTCGTCCAGCACGTACTCCTCCTCGCCGGGGAGGGACGCGTCGCCTCGTAAGCTGCTGTCGTCCGGGATCTGAGCGTCGGATGGGCTGCTCCCGGGAATGGCTGGAGCGTACGGGCTGGCGTCCTCGTCGGGCTGCGGGGCGGGGCCGGCCGGGTACAGGCCGAGCAGGTGGTACAGCCGGCCGGCCTGGCCCGCCTCGGGGTCCGCCGTGAATAGCCGGCTCTTCTCCACTAGGCCGCCTGGCAGGCTCAGCGCCACGTCCTCTTCGTACAGGAATTCGTCCCTCTCGTACCGGGCCAGGTCCTCCTCGTCCAGAAGCGCGCCCGCCTCGTCCGCCGTGTACGGGTCTCCGACGGCGTCGGCCAGCGGCGGCGCCTGCCTCCGTCTCGCCGTCGGCTCGGGCGGACCGTCAGCGGAGAGACGGGCGGGCGCCGAGCCCGAGACGCCGGCTGGGGCCGCGGCGACGGTAGCGGCGGCCGGCGCCGGCCAGGCCGCAGGTACAGCCGTCAGACCCACCTGGCGGCAGCATACAGGAAGTTTTGATGAGGCGTTGTTTCCGTGTCATTTATTTGTACGCGATCGGTGATGACACGGCATTGCTCGGCGAGAGTCGGGATCATGCATATGTTTACACGCCGAGAACATTACTGTTGCACAACCGCATCTCCGTCGTAGTTTGTTCATGCTTACGCAACGGTCTCGCCAGATAAAGACCGGTGGTGACTCTCGGGCGGCACCATGACGATACGAAGCTGATGGATGCGCTGGAGCCACCTCGTGGCCTGTGATACAATTCAGAGGATTATCCTGGGGACGGCACCTCCATGCACGAAGATCGTGGATAGCGAATACTCCAACGATGCGAGAGATTCCACAGCAGGAGTACATCGGGCGCCCGAACATGATTTGTGCTGTAAAACTGAGGGCCTGCCTGGCCTGAACAACTCGAAGAAGATGTCATGAAACGGTGCTGAGTTTGTGCAGTGTTACGGTTGGCACCACAGCCAGCAGCCATGCAGCAAAGCGAAAGCGATGCCGCCGCAAGACATCCTGCTATTACAATGCAAGTTGTCTTCAATCTTTCTTTTGGTAATTGTACGTTGTGTTGTGATCATCATCCGTTAATGGCCCCATGTCTGCAGCGGTGCTACGTTCTTTCACATCCCACAGCCGAGATGCGCTTCGCGGGTGCCCAGACCCATGGCATTACGGGACGTCTCTGAAGGCTAGAGCCTGAAGGCACTGTCCGATCTGTACTGGCCCGCGGTTTAGGCGCAGCGACTGCTGCTTGTTTGCTCTATTACAATGGCCGTTTGGTAATGACTAATCCCAATTATTTGCTGGTGGTCGGCGTAGACCGTGAGCAATTGGCTAAGGAGTCTGCTTGTTGCTGCAGTGATGAACATACAACAAAGGGCAGGTGGGAGAACTGTACACTTCCATGTTGGGCATTTACTTGTCTGTACCTGCCAATTGCAAATAATAATGGACTGAGTATCGAACATGCGCTTGTAATACATATGTTTATTACAAGTCACGTGGCTACGATTACACACAAAGTCCTGTCCGACACGGAATCTTGGCGGGAATCAGGTTCGAATGCTGCGTTAGCTACTTACCAGAAAATAAATCCCCAGGAGGGGAAAGGTCTGCTTGTTTGGCCATCTTGGTAACATGCCCCTACTGGTCCCTTCAATCCGCCAGTGGTTCCGTATCTATATCTTAATTGGCAGATACGTAAATTGTGGTCAAACAGGTTATCATCAGCTCGATCAGCATCAGCTTAGTTTTTGGTGGCTGCAGTTGTAACAACAGCCTGCCTCATGGGTACCTCAACTTGGCTGAACGCATGGATGTGGCTCTTATGAGGTCCGTCAGCCTTCTCTTCAGGAGCGCTGCCAGACACATAGCAGGTACGACAATCGATTTCTTCCGAGGAAACCGATCCACACTTAGGTTTTGCCAACGTCATCAGACGCACCGGGCAAAGCAAACAACAAGATTTTCAGCCTGCAAACCTTCCCACAAACAGCACCGCGTAAACTGCAGATAGCTAGTCTTCAGCCTGCAAACCTTCCCACCAGCAGCGCCGCGTAAACTGCAGGTAGTCAGTCTTCAGCCTGCAAACCTTCCTACAAGCAGCGCCGCGTTAACTGCAGATAGTCAGTCTTCAGCCTGCAAACCTTCCCACAAGCAGCGCCACGTAAACTGCAGGTAGTCAGTCTTCAGCCTGCAAACCTTCCTACAAGCAGCGCCGCGTAAACTGCAGATGGTCAGTCTTCAGCCTGCAAACCTTCCCACAAGCAGCACCGCGTAAACTGCAGGTAGTCAGTCTTCAGCCCGCAAACCTTCCCACAAGCAACGCCGCGTAAACTGTGGGCAGCCCAGCGAGCCTGGCGGCACAGCTCCGGGCCGTCCTGCCAGTGGGGGCGGCCTGTTTACAGACCCACCGCTGGGCGGGGAGCGGACCATCATCACCGTGTTCACCCGAGGTGAAACGGCCGCGCGTGGACCTTGTGCCGCGGAACACATGCTTCACACGGTTTGCAAGCAAGGATCGGTATGGAACTCGCGGCTGTTTTGTCACGCTGATTCGTTGCGTGACTGCAACGTTTCTTGTATAACGATTAAACAGCGAGCATATGCAAGACCAGCCTGTTGCGCTTGTACAGCACATGTGGTATATCGTGCAAGAGGCCCGATAAACTGGAAAGCCTATTCGCGGTCGGGGGGGGGG